AATGTTACCGTATCCCATCAGGGGAGACCCAGAATCGGGATTGGAACCGGTGCAATGAATTGCCATTGCTGTTCGCCGTGGCCGGGAATCGAGATCAGGTGGCACCAGTTCGGAGTGCAGTGCGCTGCCATGGGTGGAAAAAACCCGATTTTTCCAGCGGCAGGCATCGGGTTTTTTCTTTAATACAATTAAACCCGATTTCGGGGTATTAAAACCTGGTTTAATGAATACGAAACTCTGATAGGCTTAGGCTGCTTCCTCGTCGGTGCTGCTATCGTACTCGGGGGGGCCGTCGGGCACGGGGTAGTCGTAGAATGCGGCGGGCAGGTTGGTCTTGATGAACACGAGCTTCTCCACAATCGTGGGCGCCAGTGAGTTCTTTAGCTTGGAATGGATGAAGCCCATCGTTGAGAAGTTGGCGAAGTGCGGTTCTGCAATTAGAACCAATTAAACCGGATTTCTCCCAATCTCAGATGATCGGGTTTAATATAAAAAGACAATTAACCCCGATTATAAAAAAAAACCCGACTGTACCACCCTTGTGCGCTGCACCATTGCTTCTTTACTCCGTCGCACGTTCGTTAGAAGTAGGCGCCACGTGACTTTACCGAAAGAACCAGAGAGTATGGGATTCCTGCAGTCACGAAAGCTTCAAATCTAGATTAGGTGCCATGATCTTCTTGGTTCTTTCAGTAAAGTCACGTAGAAGGGAAATAATAAAATAATAAAAATGTACCATAATAAAATACAATTCTCACGACGTTTCGGCCACAACGCAAGCAGCCGTCCTCGGTTGAAGAACAGGTCTGTCGGAAAGACAGCGATTGTTTTATTTTTATTATTTTATTATTTCCCTTCTACGTGACTTTACCGAAAGAACCAAGACGATGAATCCCTGCAGTCACGAAAGCTTCAAATCTAGATTAGGTGCCATGATATAAATATTGCTGTATACGTATCTACGGATTATATACCCACGTCTGTGACAAGATTTGTTGACACTGTTTTTGATCTGTATGTAAACATTGTTTATTGTTATTACCCTGTTTGTAGTGCGTTATGGCGCGGGGTTCGTAAAAGTTATTTATGTTTAATCTTCTGTTAGTTTGCACATCCCCTCCCTGCAGTGTCCCGTGACTGCCGCCAACTGCCGACAGTCCTGGACTTTGGTCTATGGGTCTCTATTTTACTTTTTACAAATTTGTATTTTACCAGATAAGGTTCGCTGAGCTATATCGCTCTCTTTCAATTCAGTGGCTTATCGCGTGGACGTTCATAGCAGCCAAATATTCTAAGCGCATGTTTCTAAATGTGAAGAGGGAAAACCGGAAGACCCGGATAAAAATCCACGCGACCACGGGAACGGAGAACATTCAAACTCTAAATATACAACAGGCGTCAGGGTCAGGATCGAAGCCACGAATTTCTGTATACCAGGTGAGGTAGTTTGCATCTCGCCAGCGTGGCACCCCTCTAACTCCGTGGGTGTCTACGTAACTCTATCGATCTCTGTGGGTCTCTATGTAGACCTGTGTAACTCTCGAGTCTCTGGATCTCTGTGTAACTAACTGCATGGATGTCTATGGAACTCGATGGATCGCTATGAGTCTCTGTGTCCTGTAACTGCCGCTATAGAGCTGCTTAGCTCAAAGGGCCTTTAGCAGCTGAAGTCTGAGCCTGAATGTTCAACATTAAAGTATAAATGTTATCACCTTAATCTCCGGTTTATCACCGATGATCACCAGATGTTCTAAAGTGTGGGCTTAGTTCCTGGACCCATGATACAATCGCCCGGGCTGTATTGAGCCCGGAAGGTGCTTTGATGGGCAACCACCACAAATGCGCACACACAGGTTGTCATAAGGAAGCGGAGTAGGGTTGTGGGTAGCAGAGCGCAAGCCTACTGCTGTGCTTCTCTCCTTCACCAACTCGCGTTGAGCAGCGTGGTTAAAACACATTCCTGCGGAGGGAGCTGGTAGGAACGTTGGGTTGCTCGGTCAATGGCCAGGGTCAACGGCGGCGTGGTGAATTCCGCAAATATGCCCGACTGTGAGGGCGGGCACAAGCCGGCGTGAGTAGGTTAAACGTTGAGTTTTATAAGGGCACCACGGGGTGACCAGCCCCTCCCCACCCAGCCCCTCCCCACCCAGCCTCTCCCCACCCTCCCCACCCAGCCCCTCCCCACCCTCCCCACCCAGCCCCTCCCCACCCTCCCTACCCAGCCCCTCCCCACCCAGCCCCACCCCTCCCCCACCCAGCCCCTCCCCACCCTCCCCACCCCTACCACCCCCCACCCAGCCCCACCCTCCCCACCCAGCCCCTCCCCTCCCTCCCCACCCAGCCCCTCCCCACCCTCCCCTTTCCACCCAGCCCCACCCCTCCCCTTTTTGGATTCACAACGGACGGACGGACGGACACAATAATCCTCTGTGGGCTGGTGGAACCAGGAGGCTCCTACCAGTATATGGTTGACTAATCCCCATTGGCCTGCACGGTCTGGTGAGACGCGTCATCCAGCAATGGATTCACACAAGTTATATCTATGGTTAATGCAGACTTGATTGCTTGCAAAAGGTATCCGGTCTATTTGGTGTTTGAACATCTTAACACCTATTTTATTGCCAGGAAGGGTAAAGCCTAATCTTATTTTCAATAAATTGCTATACACACGTTTATACAGGGCCTACAATGATTGAGTCACACGCGCTAACACTGCCCCCTTCTGGATAAACGAAAACAACACTCGCCATTAAACGTTGCTTTACAACATGTAAGAAGGCTGACGTTTCGGGCAATGGCCCTTTCATAGTAGGGAAAAGGACACGCTCTTAATTTGCGGTTTGGAGGTTACTTTTCACTGTGGGAACCTGAAATAAAAAAAACAACAACCTGGATTCAATTAAACATTTACCCCCCCCCACCAATGTATTTCAACTGGACGATTGGCATCGTGCCACGTGATGGAGAAGAATACATTTGGAAATCTGTCAAGAAAAATCCGTAGCTCCCGTGCGTCAAGAGAACGCCTGGGCAAGATGTTTTTTTTGTTCGCTGGACATCTCCAGGAAACAATCCTCTGAGTGCCATGGTTTTGCCTTTCCACAGTAGAGGGCGCAGTTTCCTACACGCCCGAGTCCGAAATGAAACAAATGTGTATGCTGGTGCTGAAGATGCTGCTGCGTTGGCAGTGGTGCACAAACACAAGTAACAACATTCCAATAAGAATCGGAATAATGAGAATATGTACTTTCACGGGAGGAATCCGATGAGCTATAAAGCTCGTTTTCACAGATTTTCAGTCGGGTCGGGTTCAAAACGTTACAATACAAAAGCACGATTGGAGTGCAAAGTACAAAAAGTAAAGATAAACAAATCACACAAAATACGAAACTATTATGTTGCCAGGTAAGGCCCACTGAACTATCAGCTTCTTTTCAGAAGCCACCTGACTACAAATGATAGCTCAACGAAGTGGCTAATCATGTGGAAATTTGTAGCACTGAGCAATCTTATATTTTCTTTAAAAGGTAATCTACTGCTGGATGAGGGTCTCCCCACGCTATGCAAGTCGTGGTGAGGTTATTTGGCCATGCTTCGCCATTCTGGCCAAAGCAGCTTGGTTAATGTAGGGAACATAGACGTAAATGCAGTACCGTACAGCATTATATTTTTTCTGCACTTCCCCCTGCTGGCAATTGTTAGGGAAAAATTATCATCATCAGTTTAACACGTAGGTTTTCGCGACCAATATTAATAATAAAGGTTTTTGGGTTAGATCGCGTTATTTATAAATGTGTCGTAACCCTCCACCACCCGGCACGGCCAATTAGTAAGGGATTTGTCACGTAAACAAAACACCAAATAGTTACTTTAGCCCACCGGTGTGTTGTAAATGTTGTGGATTTACTCTCCAACACAGCCGTGGGCTGACGTGGTAACTAATTGGCGTTATGTTAACGTGACAAATCCCTTACTAATTGGCTGTGCCGGGTGGTGGAGGGTTACGAAACATTTATACTTAGGCGATCTACCCCCCAAAGATCTTTATTATGAAATATTATCATCGTAATGCATCACCTGGCGTAATATTTTACCAAGTGCAGAATAAAATTGTAATTTTATTTCTATTATTATTTCTATTATTTTTATTTTTTATTATTTAGTTTTACCTACGTGACTTTCCCGAAAAAACCTAAGAGTATGAATCCTTGCAGTCACGAAAGCTTCCAATCTAGAATCAAGTGCAGAATGTTAGGCAATATCTGGGGTAAAATATTCCTAGATATTATTGTGATGTAATTGCTCGGCCATTGACAGCGCCCGTCTGAATCGTCCGGTGTAGGAATCGTCAGCTTAGCGATTCCGCAAATCAGGTTTACGTCGTTGAAAAACACCTTCTAGAGGCCTAAGCAGCCCACGGTGATACCTATTCGCTGATAAGACAGTCATCGCTCGCGGAAGACGCCACCTTGCTGGTTTCAGTGTAGTCTCAATAACAATTGCTGTTTAAAAGTGAAAAAAAATAATAGATTCCGACGGGTGCTTCAGATTCAGGAATCGATTCTCGCGACCATTCTCGACGGTTCTGCGTGCTGCTGCTTTGCCGAACGGACGAGTCCATTAATCATTAACTCGGAGGTGATGAGTCCACTCACGCAGGCGTTAAAATCGACGATCTGTAAAGAAATCGCCTTACGTGCAATCTTCAGATGAATAATACTTGTCTAATTATAAAAATGCGTGATTAATTTTGTTTAATTATAAAAAAAACTAAGACTAAGATAATGCACGAACTATCAATCACCCCCCCTCCCTCGCCGAGGCCAAAGTAGTCGCGTCCGCGCCGTTTGTGAATGGCCAACCCGCCGCGGACCAATCACGCGCCGCCGCCTTTGCCGCCGGGCTCCGCGTTGCCCTCCCATTGGTCAACTCGGCTGCACCACCACGCGCCCGCGGGTGTCTCCGCCCTCGGCCAATGGGGAGCGTCCACGGCGTGAAGAGGGCGCCGCGCGTGACGTCACGCGAGGGGGGGGGGCGGGGCTGAGACGCGGAGACTCCGAGGTGAGGGGACGTCGCGCGGCCGCTTCTACGGCTTTTAAATTAAAAAGGTTTTTTTTTGACGCGATTGTTTATTAAAAAAAAATATCTCTCGTTGAAATTAACGTCGAGGATAACATTGCCCGTCGGTTGTTGTTTGCTCGTCATCAAGCACCGCTTTTGTTTTGTTTGTTTTTTAACGAGCCTTCGCCTGAGGTAGAATGACCGAGCTCGCGGCCTTGCGGCTGCTAGGCCTGAGGCGCCCCCCCCCCTCCCCATCCATTTGTAATTATAATTATAACATCACATTATAACGTGTTACATTAATAATGTGTTACGTCAACAACGTGTTACCTTCAACATTGTGCGCGGCTTGTAATTTTAGCGTGTAAAATCGGTTACGCCTATCTAAAACATTAATTTGCGGGGTGGGGGGGTGACGTTAAAATGCTCTGCACGGTCCCGGGCCCCCCCCCCTCCCGTGATGTTTGCCCGTGTGGACATTAGAAGAAGTCTGGACATTAGACGGCTGTTGTGTTGTTATCTGTCGGCGAGTTGGACATTTGTGAGCAGCCTCTTGAGGCCGCCGCACATCTTGCCAACAAATGTTACGTCCTTGGAATGAAATACAGGGTGCGATTGTTCCCCCCGCCGGTAGCAACGTCGTCCTCACCCGTAGCGATGGTTGCAAGCGGAGAGTGACGCTTGGTCGACGATCTGCTAAGTTGATGAAGGAATAAGGAAGTTTAATTGAATGGATTTTCGTTTCGTTGGGTTTTTGTGGTACGAGAAATGAGGGGGGGGGGGAGTCGAAGGGTGTTTTTTTTAGTGTGCGAGTGCGATTTTACGTTTTAATGTTTGGCCGTGGCATTCGTCCAGACGTTCATAGAGAATGGTCGATGGTTGTGATGTGAATGTTGTTCATGGTTGTAAGTTATCGTGATGGTATGAGTGGTTGGAGCGTTAAAAGCGATGTCGATTCATAATCGGGTGTGTTGCGTTAGTTCGTGTAAAATGTGTCGTAAACCCTCCTCCACCCGACGCAGACAATGGTAAGTGTCACGTGAATCAAACTTGTTTTAAATATATTTATTCCTTCAGCACACCGGCGTGTTGGAGAGTGATGTTACAACATTGAAATGGGTACGACGTTTCTCTGGTGATTGCATCCAGCATCGTCAGGTTAACAGGAGCTCCGATCGTCACACCGACAGCAGCTATGTTGCTGCTGGTGGTTGTGATGCACAGTAGAGGGTACAAGTGGTGTGCATCGAGCAGTCATCTCAGTCAGTCAACCCATAGAACTTGCCTGGGTCTGTCTCGTGACCTCCTGTCAGTGGGTGTTCGACACTTCACGTGGCCTTTAACGTGCACATAGGCCTGGCACAAGCGCCGTTTGTGATGTCAATGCTTATTCTGAACGTGAAAATATTTTTGCAATGTGAGCGTTGATGGTAGCGGTAATTGTGTTTGTGATAATTATGGTGGCGTTTGTTATTATGACAGTTATGGTCGTGGTTATAATAGTGATGGTGAAGGTTGTGGTAGCAATGCTGGCAGTAGAGGTGGTGATTGTAATGCAGTCATGTAACGAATCGCTCGCTCACGATTGGAATGGTTACGATTCGGTTTTCGATTATTTTCCGCCTTTCTAGTGCGGGAAGTTTATAGTGGCAGTAGAGAACACATGAGCCAATCGCATACAACCTTTTTAAGAATCTATTCTCGCGTACGGTTGGATACATGTCGTGAGCATAAGCATGTATTTACTTCAATCTTTGCATTGTTGCTTGTAGTATTATGAGTAGTGGTTGTGACCGTTTAGTCGGTGTTAATGTTTTTAGCAGTGACATTTGTGATTCTAGTGGTGATTGGTGGTATTTATTTTGGTGGTGGTTGTTGCTGGTCATTGTGATGATAATGATGACATTGATAATAATGATATTGGTACCGTACCTATGATCGTGCCAACGATTATATTACACTACTATTTGAGTTTGTTACATAAATATAACTGCATCTCAAAATTCTCGACAAAAGGTGTTGAGCCTGTTCTGCAACAGGGGTTTATAGTAAACAGCATTGGTGCCTGGGGGAATGGAGTTCCAGACTGGTTGCAGTAGGAAACATTTCGCAACATTCGACTTAATGAAGGCTTCGATAGAAAAGCTTTGCCTAGGATGGAGGGGAGTAGAGTGATGAAAGGATGCAATATTGGGGTGATGTGGAATCATACCTATACCATCCCTTCACAGGTGCTTCACCAAGGCCCTAACAAACCGATAAAATGGCTTCCCGCTGCCGGTTGCTGAGCACCACGTCGCTGCTGCTGGTGCTGCTGACGCTGGTGCTGGTGCCAGGCCCTGCTCGCTCGCACGGCGATCACGACCACGGTCACGATCACGACCACGATCACGAACATGATCACGACCACGATCACGACCACGATCACGACCACGACATGGAGCCACTTCTGGACGATGATGTAGAGGATGACATGGACTTGAACATCGACAACGACCCAGAGTTGGACGACGTGGACACCAAACAGCCCGAGCCTCCAGCCGCCCCCAAGGTATGAGCCCACCATATCGTGACCACATGTAGCAAGCCGTTGGGTGGGGAGGAGCAGCAGCAAAGTGGGGAGCGGAGGTTAGAGGTCGTTGATTGTGGTGGGAGGAGGGAGTCTGGGTGGTCGAGTTTGTTCATTAACACATAGTGGCTGCAGCAGAGATTTATGATTGCGACGCAATCTCAGTTTATTAATGTTTCTCGTAAAACAGTGGGAAGTGAATAATCTCAGTAAGCTTAGCGACAAATTAAAATGTGTTTACTTATTAGATGTGAAAAATAAAGCTGACTTTGCAAAGATGTTGATACATCAGAATCAGCTCATTCGACTGATGGATGAAGTCCTCCGCACTTTGTCACCAGTCTTCATGGTCTCATCGGATTCTTCCAGGATAAATAAAGATGTTGATTCTGATCCCATTGCTGCATCTCCGTGTTGGCCATGCTCGTAATGATTACATAGTGCAGATTTTTTACGTTAACACCATATGTTCATGTTTTCACAGACGGTTTTGGAAATATTAATTTAGTCTTTAAGATAGATGCAGGGGTAGTTAATTTAATCTTGAGCTATTAAATTGCTGTTGGTGGGTTTGGCTGATAAAACTGGTGTTTACCCATAACAACTGGGAATCATAGACGCTGTCTGTGTGCCTGGCATTCCTCGCAGGTCGTGTACAAGGCTCCCCATCCCATCGGAGACACGTACTTCGTGGATTCCTTCGACAGCGGCACATTGGACAAGTGTGTGCACAGAGTGCAGACCCACAGCTTCATTATTTCATTAATTACTAACGGAGTGCCTTGCCTCACAGTTTGGGATAATTAATGTTTAAATGGACAGACACCCACAGTAATTCTCCCTGTCCTACACCATTTGCCTAGCTAAATCGTACATTTATTATAGACCCGGCTTGTTTAGTTGTACGTTTTAGTCTGTGGATCGTGTGGTTTTGATTTCAATTTTGGGGAGGCTAACAGCTTCTGGCGGTCACTTCGTCCAATTTGGCACCCCGTCTTGTTAAAGGATACAGGCAGTGGAGGGCACGTGTTCACATGTGTGGGTTTTGCCATAATTGGGCGATTTGGCGCTGTTTCTCCCACCACCAGCTGGGTCGTTTCCAAAGCCAAGAAAGAGGACACGGATGAAGATATTGCTAAGTATGATGGTAAGTGGGTGTAATTGTACATGTTGCACTGTTGAAGATGGTCCTCTTTTGTGTCAGGGCTGGGTGGGGAGGGGTGAGAATGCCACAGCACTCATGGATGCTTGAGGAAATCGCATGACTGCCGGCCGTGGCTATGAATGCTGTCCTTATAAAGCAAGGGGCATAAACTTGTCACGTGTCAGCGCTGCTGATGGATTCCTTTTGGCAGCAAGAAAGGCCAGACTGATGTCGTACAATCTAAATGAATAAAGTGAGCGTTGCTCATTGTAAGGCTTTGTGAACAAATTTCCCGGAATATGTCGAATCACCCACACCAAGCATGGCTGAACCTGCACAGTCCTTGAAGGGGCGATCACTGTGCATAACAGGTTATATAGGCTGTGTTATTGTGCAGTACTTGGCTCCTACATTTGCGTACCTCACGTAGGGGAGGCCTTCATTCAGCAGTGGATTGACAAGGCTTATGTACATGTCAGAATAAGATGCAACCCAAAAACAAGTTGTCCTTTGTCGGTGCTTCCTGTTGGCAAGTCAGGCACTTAATCACAGTGCTGTACTTACACCACCCATTGATGTATAAAGATTTGGGACTGTGACATGACTGCAGTGCCGTGATGAGACACTTCACCGTGATTTCAAGTCCCTTATTGAAGCTTTGAATGCAGTATGGGATGCATTGCCTGGTTGCATGCCTCCCAAGACAGCATGTATTTTTTGGGGGATTTTTTAAAATATCCTCGAGCACACAATCAGACCTGGGGTCAATTGCAACATTGCAATTCATAATGAATTACAAGCGCATTGTCATTGTAATTTTCCACGAATAGTGGTGCGGTAATTATAATTAACCTCAGGTCTGATGCAAAGCAATGCAGATTTCAAACACCCATACCTCCCCGAGCTCATTACCGAGAGCAGAACCTCGGTGCTGCTGAGATTCAGACTCACAAGATCCTTGGAGTTCTTCAAGAGCGATAATCTCATTGCAACCTCGTTTGGTTAAACAAAGGACAGACCAAGCAATCTGATTATGGCATCCATAAGTGATTAAACGAGTACCAACGAGCCGGCGTCAATTTGACATTGACCGAGTGCACACAAGTGTTAAGGGACCACTTGAGCATCACAAAGCAAAACAAATTGCCACCTTAATTTTGAGCTCTCCTCTACACATGTTTTAGAGGATTTGCCTTTGGGAGCAGACAGAGGGCAGCCATATAAATTAAGTTGTTAGACTGCTAATGACTGTAAATTTGCTCTGAATAAAACTATTATTGGATTTATATTTATTGCTATTAATTTGAATGAATATATTATATCTTGAGGGAAGAGGTGGCATTGGGATTGGAGCCACCATGCCATTGAACCTGGTGATCCGAGTTAAAATCCTGGACATGGCTTGCATCAGTGGTGTTTGATTTCTAAACCGATCATGCCCAGCTGGTTTCACTCACCGCAATTACCAACATGGGGAAGTGTGGTCAAACATCTCCCGTGACTTAACACAGCATTGGTGGTATTCATCCAGCAGTGGCATAACAATAGGTGTTGACTTATTATTAATTCTTGATAAATAAATGGACCATGTCCTGTTGATGAGCTTCAGAAATTTGTAAACGAGTCCAGAGTTGACGACCGGTGGAAACAAATGCTACTGAAGAATATAAACGAACCATGTTTATTTTGTAAATGGAGAAACAGACCCGTGTATTGTAAATATTTAGATTTTAAAGCACTCCTAATGAAAAAATATGCTTGGTTTTGCTTTGGACACGTGAAAGTCTGGTTTTATGTAGCAGCCTCAGCTCAGTACAGAGAGCTTAGTTTGGTAGGTACAGCATGTGCAAACATGTTGTAACCTAGCTAAACAGTGAGAAATCGGCATACTGGGAAGATTATTTTTTAATTGATACAAAGGTAGAGAAAAATCTGTAAAAAGTTTCTGGCATGTGTTTGCACAGAGGGAGTCGACAGCATGTATGCCTGGCTGGGGGAAGGGAGTGTGAGATGAGGTACCAGCAGTGGCGAATGAGCAGCTTCCCCCTGAGCGAAGGGTTGTGACAGAATTATTTGGTTGTGGGTTTTTGGAGCAGAGAATGCGTACTAGCGTTGTAGAATGAGATCAGAGAGGTATGAGTGGGTGGAGTTGAGTGAGCTGAGAGGGGAAAAGTAGGCAGGTTCAATTCCATAGAGGATCATTAAATATTTCCAGTCACTATAAACAGAATTGCCTGCCTCGGATGGCACGCAGGGATAACACAATTTCAATAGCAGTGTGACATTTCTAGTCCTTCAAAACCACTATTGGAAATTAAATGGAGATGATAGTTTGGTGAACCCTCTGGTGAAAGTTTTCAAGGTTGCCCAACGTCAGACAGCGAATGAAGTTGGTTTATAGCACTGTTTTCCCCATGCCACTGTCTGAGGCGTGCACTTTTGTTTCTGGTTTGCTCAAACACTTCATTCTAAAGTGCAGTGTATATATGGGGCTATTAACATTAGGCGGGGACCGGTCGTCGCTCTGCATGAAGGAGCGTCGCGTGCTCTCCGCCGCCACCACCCTCGGCAAACGATGAGCGACTGATGGATGGTGCGTGCCCCATCTTGTGCCACCACAGGGAAGTGGCTCGTGGAGGAGCAGCTGGATGGGAAGCTGCCCGACGACAAGGGGCTGGTGCTGAAGTCTCGCGCCAAGCACCACGCCATTTCCGGCGCCCTCACCAGACCCTTCCACTTCATCGACAAGCCGCTCATCGTGCAGTGCGTGTCCCACACCACTGCCATTGATTTTGCCTTTTAATGCTGTCACTTTATTTTTTATGGTCTATTTCCGCTTTGCCGAAGTTGTGGGATGAATGCCTATTTTTCCTGAACCTTGGATCATTACAAACTCTTAACCTTGACTGTAACCCTACCCATAGGAAGTCATTGGTAAGATCAATGACAAAATGAATACCGAATAGAAAGCCGAGGCACTAGTGTAGGCTTTCACCACTTTAACAGCCCTCATGCAGGATTTACAGATGAAATGTATTAATGTAACAACACTGTAAATGGTTTCCACCGAAATAAATTACAGGCAGGGAGTGTTTGTGAAACTGCTGGCAATGACCGTTATTACTGGGTGTGATACAATTTAACATCCACATGCAATTTCAGGAACTGTCACCCCCATTCAAGGATCATGACCGAGTTCAAGAATTGATGATTTTTGTCTCGTTTGTGCCGTCTTGTTCTGTGTGTTCCCTGCGTCTCGTTTTGGAATGCTCGTCTCGACTGACGTTTTTGTGCCGTTTGTATATCGCCTGTCTTGCCCATTCCTAACACGCGCAATTCGGTGCTCGCTGTGCAAAGCCGCTGCGTGCTCACTCGTTGCAGCTGGCTTCCTGGACTGGCGCAAGTGACCGTGTGGTGGTCGGGGTCTTGTTGCCAGCGCAGGATATCACTTGCCGTGGACCTAGATATGGCGCCACACTGGATGGTCCGAGCGTGACACTGCCAATGCGGCGCCTATACCCCTCTGGGAAACCGTTGTGTTCTTGTGAATGTGATGGCAGCTGTGGGCTCTTGTTTAATAGGGCCCTTTGGGAAACAGGTGCACGGCGTTTGGGTTTTATATTGTTTTGATCCCTTCATTATTGTGCGAGCCTTCATCTTTTGAAGCCACGCAGGCATGTTGATGAGACCGTTTAGGAAGGCTCTGGCACAGTGGGCCAGGTGTGCAGTGTTTTTTTTGTGTTCTAGGTACACGTCTGTGTGCACGAGTGCTTTGCTTTAACAGGTGCTCGCAACACATAGAACTTGCCTCCATAGCCTTTGTAGGTTATTCCTGGATCCTTGTCTTTGTGCCTGTGTGCATATGTGTTTGTATGCGTATGTATGGGGGAGCCATAGTGCACTACGAATTTGGCGACCCAGGTTTGATTCCCTTCACGGCCAGTTATCTGAACCGGTCCTGGGCCTCCCCTAGGTCGACTCCGCCTCAAATGAGTATCTGTTGCGGTGTGTAAACATCGCCAATGGGGAGACAAAGGCGGCCGAGCGTGGTGTTTACCACCCACCCCCTCGTGCTGTGCTGGCCTTCATAGGTGCTCGCTAACAGCACTTTCCCCAACAGTCTGTTACAGGCTATACTGGGGATCTTTGTCTTTGTTTGCATGTGTTTACGTGCTTATGAATTTGCAGAGGGTGGGATAGCTCAGTAGTTGTGAGCAGCGTTCAATGTTCACGCTTGCCTAGATTCGTTTCCCTGCCGTTGATAAACATCGGCGCCAAAATTGTATCCGAGTCTATTCTTGACCTTCCTTAGGTGAGGACATTGGTCCTCGGGAAACAAATGTGGCTGAGTGGTGCTGGTTATTCAACACTTACCGTAGGTGCTCACCAACAAGAGCTTACCACCAGTCTCCAATGCAAAGCTGAAGATATTTCTCGTTTTGGTTTGGGAGTGCTTCTGTGTGTGTGTGTTCACATGCTCTTGCCAATGTGTGCCTGGGGGGGGGGGGATGTGATTGGTTTGTTAGTTTATTTGCACAGATGTGTGGCCGAGTGGAATGTGGATTTAAAGTTTAAAGCAAGCCACTCCCATTGGCTGCACAGAGAAAATAGCTGATGAATTGGAATAGTTTCAGAAAACAGTGCTTTGTTTTACAAGCTAAATGTATTTTTCTCATCCATTGTAAATTTGCATTTTACAGAAGGACATTACATTTTCCACTTTGTTCGTCTTTTGGCCCTCGAGTGTTTAACATTGTTGGCAAAGTTGTCTCTGCGAGCAGCAGAAAGAGAGCCGGGTTTTTTCCGTTGTTTGATCCCAAAGGCATGCCACACGCTAACTTTTTGTTTAGAGTCAATGGCGAACCGTGTTGCCGTGGATGGTCGCGCTGGGATACAACTCCAATTGCAGACATCGATTGTGCTGTAAATCCTTCGCTGTGCAGCTGTGATTATTATTACCGAGCAAGGGGTTGCAAACTTTGGACATGAACATTTTAGATGCTGCTGTTGGTACTTGCGAACAAGAGTATTTCGGATGTCTAGGTGTTCATTGCATTTCTTGGAATTTGTGCGTGACCAAATTACCCGGAACATGCCCAATCTCATGATATCGCTGCAGCTTAAGCAGAGGTGACTATGGGCAGTGTTTAGATGGGTGACCACCATTCACAAACAGGTTGTAAGGCTACGTGGTGACTGGTAGAGGTCAGTGCAGCAAACGCTGTTGTGCTGTTCTTTCGTGCTTTGACGTCTCTGCGCCCCTTGACTGATCCGCATTGACCAACATCATGCGTGGTAAAATAATCCCTCATGAATTGTCCAGGTATGGGGAGACTCTTATTCAGCAGTAGATTGATACAGCCTGCCAGTAGGGTAGCGTGTGTACACATGATTGAATTGACCATAGGAGTAAGACGAACTTAAGGATAATTTGCTCGTGCATAAATTAAACATGTGTGTGTTGATTGGACCGAACAGCATTCAGAAGCACTGCATCTATTTATGTTGGCCAAGCCGGGAGTGCTTCAATCAAAACACATTTGCCGGTGCGTGCAAGGGGAGAGCTAAAAATGGAAATGAGGCAACCGCATGTTTGCGGCGAAACGAGCTGCGTGGAGACACCAGGTGGCTTTGATATCCAATTCAGAGTGGGGAAACTTCTGAGCTGAATGAGAGACACTCGGTAGTGTTGTGAGGCGGGAATTTATTTTGGGACCTAATAAAAATGGTGATGAAAACGCAGGCACCCCCGCCCCCCCGTGTCTGAGAAGAACATGCAGAGTTGGAATTGGGATTACATTATCTATGCCACTTTGGCCTGCATTTCCAGTGCTTCCTATATTGTTCATCCATGTACGATTTTGCTTTGTAGGAATGCTTTTATTCGCCATTCTTTTCAATGAATTGTTTCCATTCAGGGTTGCTGCTAGCAATTTAATTCAAGATTGGAATTTGTTTTACTTTGCATTCATTGGCAGTGCCCTCAGTCGCTGGATGGTTGACCCAATTTCTATTACATACCAACCTATAAAATGAGAAAAACATTAATCTTTGCACATCCACTACATGTATCGTTTAGCATGGGCATTTATTTTTATGGTTGAATAGATGCGTCACTAATTTCAGGTCAGAACCCTACAATTTGTGGGGATTTTTTCATCAAAGTGAATTTTCTGAGCATAATTATACAAGTTTAATTGCTTTGACTGCCCCATCTGTGTTGAATACAATATTAATCATTTTGAACAAAAAATGTTTTTTCACGTATAACACTTTAGAGGATGTCCTTTGATGCACGGTATGGCGCGAACAATTACATTTGTGGTGCGCCTGTGTAAAAGTGGCTTGGGGAACAAACATATATCTAACGAAATCGTTTTGAGAAAGTTAAAGCGGGCTTAGGTCGCTAAAAGGCGGATGGTGACTGATAGACAACACTCGTGATAAAATGCGGTGGCTGTTCTTGCCAATCATTGACAGACCACTGGACAGAATACATATTAAAGGCACACGTAGTGGCAATCGTTTGTTAATGGCTTTTTATTGTACAGCCAATATAATTAGTGATTCGTACGTAATGTTCCCTGGAAGCCAAGGAAGCTTAAGCCTGGATAATTATTGGATGGGGGACTGCCTTGGAATACTCTTTGTGGCCTTGGGGCTGTGAGGTGGTCAGGAGAGTACCACAATGGTTCCTTTAATATACATCTGTGTAGAGCTTTGAGCTTTACCACCTCAAAAGTGTTGGCATTATTTTACTTCCAAAGAAATTGGCAATATGTCCTTAATGCAGGGCCCTGCTGAGAAGTCTATTTAAGACTCGGGGTTTCCTAGATAAATATATAGCATTTGTGTGTGTGCGTACCTATATATGTGTCTGTGAGATGGGGACAATGAGATAATTTCATGCACAGGTAGTGAGATGAATTGCAGCATCGCTGGACTCTGAAGGACATGCCGGCTTTTATCCAGCACTAGTTAAGATTGTGGCTCGCGATGGTGACGACGATGATGAATGATAGTGGTGGCGAAAATGAGTCGTCAAAACTGAAGCGCCTGTCTTTCCTGCAGATATGAGGTGAATTTCCAGAACGGCATCGAGTGCGGTGGTGCCTACATAAAGCTGCTCTCTGGAAACGCCGACCTTGACTTGGTGAGTGGAGATCGCTTTCACTCTGCAATTATTTGTGTTCCTACAGCCACACTGTTTTATACATGTGTTATTATAACCGTACCTTAGTTCAAATATCACTCTGCAGATCAAAAATTTCTTAAAAATTCTGGCTATTGCCTGAAGAGGCCAGTTGTAATCGGCAGCGAAACGTCATACTCGAGTTGTAGATGTTGTGGGTTTACTCCAACACACTGGGGTGCTGAAGTAGTAACTAAGTGGCAGGGTTTGTTTTCGTGACAACCCTTACTAATTGCCTTTGTTGGGTGGTGATGGGTTTAACGACACTTTTATATTTTCACGATATAACCCAAAAAAATCTTTATGCAAAAAATTTCTTTTATTTTTGTTTCCTCTCACTGCTCCAGAAAACCCATTTTTCTCCCGCCATCGTCCCTTTTCCCAAGTACTTTTAAAACCGTTCTAAATTCCAGAAACACATTTACTCGTTTCTATTATACCATCAATCATGCTGTTTAATATCCTGAATGGTGGGAATGCATCAAAACCTTTGCTGGGCTAGATCATTCATATCCTTACCCTAAACAATCCGTTTGAAGTTTAGCTAATCTTGTGTTCATGAAGACTAAACCACAACCAGCAATGTGTGCTAATGTGGCCGTACTTTGCCAAATGACGCAGGCAGAGACGAACTATCGAATGTGTGATTTGGGCGAACCTGGCATCAACTTGTATATCACAGCCATCAGTGGCATAGCTATCGAATCTGCAAACAGTGCTACTGCACGGTGTCCCACGAACTGAGAGGGCCCGGGGGGGAGGGCTATGAAAAGTGGGATGGGGGGGGTCTTTTAAATTGGACAGGGGCCCATTTCATCCATTGGGTAAATGTGCGGCAAGCCTAAATGCCCTCCTGTATTGCCACCCACGCCCCCCCATGTATTCCTCCCTCCTAGACCAAGTTCTACGACAAGACATCTTACACCATCATGTTCGGGCCGGACAAGTGCGGCGAGGACTACAAGCTGCACTTCATCATGCGCCACCGCAACCCCAAGACGGGCACCTACGAGGAGAAGCATGCCAAGAAATCCGATGTTGACCTCAAGCCCTACTACACTGACAAGAAGCCCCACCTCTACACGCTGGGTATGCCTCGTTTGAGCCCTCATGAGAGCCATCTGGCCGCTGCCGCCGTATTGGGCACTCCAATTCTTCCCATTGTGAACTTTTTTTCTCCTTTATTTTACAGCTAAAATGGAGGATTTTTATGTTGAGGCATGCAGCCTTTATTGCCATCACGGCCACTTCCATTTTGTAACTTTATATTTGACACCCTTGTTTCCCACTTTCAGAATTTTTTTCTTCCAAAATGACTTCAGAGTTTAGTGTACACCTTGGAGTATTTTCACCCCACTGTAGGATCCGAATGCTGTACATTCTTTGAGCACCCTCCCTGCTGTAGTTAACCCTCTCCGGCCAGTTTGCGCCGTCGTTTTGTCATACTTGCAATTATTATTATACTTTGTAGTTGGCCTATTAGTCTTCTACCTGAGAATATAAATAAAAGCCAATCTGAGCGTGGTTCTGCAAAACCTTGCGCAGACATCCTAACCATTCCACCTTAACATATAATAGTATTCTGACCCTGCAGGGTAGGAATCATTGCTGTATAGAATTTATAACCTGGGTTAGTTGTTTGTAACTTTGCTTTGTCAATTTTCCACCTCCCCTCCCGTCCACCTCCCCGCCGTCTCCCAACCCTTCCGTCCACCACTGCCACCACCACCGCTCTCCCTCGACAGTGCTGTCCCCGGACAACCGATACGAGATCCTGATTGACCAGACGGTGGTGGGCAGCGGGAGCCTCCTCGAGGACATGACCCCGGCCGTGAACCCCGCGCGTGAAATTGAGGACCCCGACGACAGCAAGCCCGAAGACTGGGACGAGCGCGCCAAGATCCCTGACCCCGATGCCGTCAAGCCCGAAGACTGGTGGGTGTGGGTGGTGTGGCCACACAGCGACACAGAGCGGTGTGGTTGGGGTAGAGCGTGAGTGTGGTTCGGCGTGAGTGTGGTGTTGGTTGGAGCGGGTTAGCTGTGGTGTGGTCAAGAATGAGTGGTCTGGTTCAGCGTGTGAGCGTTGTGGTGAATGAGTGGTAGTGTTGATTTGAGCAGATTAGCTGTGGTGTGGCCAGGAACAATTGGTGTTGCCAGACCAGTGGTGTGGTTTCCGTGAGCTTTGCCGGTGGTAGGAGTGGTGTGGCTGAAGTAAACAATGGCGAGCGATATGGTCGCTTTGGAAGCAATTATAATTTTACGCGGTCTAGACGACCTACCCACAGGTAAACTTGCCATAAAAGAGTACTTGGCAATAAATGACCTTGGAGAGCGTCCTTGGACATTAACAATGCGCTGGTGACACGATGGTCAGCTGTGCGGTAACACGGGTAATGGGCCTTAGCATTACTCACATGCGTAATTTTCGTGGTGACACTGCAATGATTATGCAATAAAATCCAAGTAGTCTTCAAGGTTATGAGCGCTACCACAGGCCAAGGCATGTTCCGTTGTATCATCCTCTCCTTGTTACTCTTACCGTGTTCGACACGCTTGTAAAATTTTTATTACTAATGTACTCTCTTGGCAACCAGGCATGGTAATCATTCACCCCCCCTCCCTCACTGATTGTTCTGACTGGGCGTTGCAATTGAAATCAAGAATGCATGCTTTATTGGTCTGGTTTTCCTCTTTATTCAATTATATTATTTTTCGTTTATTACGTCTCGTGCTCTTCTGTTTCCATTATCCTAAATGGTACAGTGTCATTTAATTTTCATAGATTTTTTATTAAACATGGATTCTCACACAGGAACTGAACGCAGGTCATCAGGTTCAAAGCACAGTGTGTGCCAATACATTGTTTTTGTATTCATTGGTATTAAGCTTATAACGTAACATTCTATATTTCAGTAAACGTTGTTGCGATGCTTGTATCTTACCGTCCGCCTGGCTTGTCTCCCTGTGTCCCACTCTCCGCTGTCCCCGCTTGGTCCCTGTGGTTGACGGGCCAACAGGGATGAGGATGCCCCAGCTCAGATCTCCGATCCGGACGCCGTGAAGCCGGAGGGCTGGCTGGACGATGAGCCGGAGTACACGGCCGACCCCGAGGCCGTCAAGCCCGAGGATTGGTGAGCGTCGTCATCAGCATCATCATATCACATGCTCACTCGGGCCATTGCAACTCTCTCCTCTACTGCCGACCGCTTCCCGAACTCCCTCCTCTCCAAAGTCATAGATCATCACCTCACAGGCACCCATAAACGAGACCGCATAACCTCAATACTCCAATTATTTTACTGGCTCCCAATACAATCCCCGGTTATTTTCAAGATTGCACTCAACGTCTTTGTGATCCTCCATGGCCTCTTCGCCCTTGCCTCCCATCTCCCCTCTCATCTCATTCTACTCGCTTCAGCGCACACTCTGCTCGAGCAATGAAGACTTTCTCTCCAAAGCCAGCGTTCAGTGGGAGGTCACTTGTCTGATTCTGCTGTCCCCATAAACTTGAACTTGCTTCCCCAAAACGTCTGTGCAGTCGCCTCCCTGCCCCTGTTCAGGTCCCGGCTCTTATCATGAGTGTCGGCATGTTTTTTTTTTCAATTGACAAATCGTTGCGTTGCTGTTACAACCCCTGGTCAACACGTGATGTAAATCTGAGCGGGCGTGCTGCATCGTTCCTATCTGTGTCCCGTCCTCACGAACCGGGGGCACAAGGAGATTAGATGTTGAGGTGGAGGAGGTGCCAGCACCCCTCGGTCTATAAACACACTTTCTGTTCTGCTTGACGGTTGCCCATATTAGCCCATAGTGGGTCCACGCGTGGTGTAAACCTCGACACGTGTGCGCGTCGCTGCATCATTCCCCCTCTATGCTGTCGCACAGGGACGAGGAGATGGACGGCGAGTGGGAGGCTCCGCAGGTCCCCAACCCAACGTGCGAGACGGCGCCGGGCTGCGGCGTGTGGAAGGCCCCCATGGTCTCCAACCCGGCCTACAAGGGCAAGTGGAAGGCGTCCAACATTGACAACCCCA